GGGGGGGGGTGGACCCGTGGGGGGAGGGGTTCCCCGCGTTGGGGGCTAAAAAAAAAGGGGGGGGGGGGGGGGGAAATGTTGGGAAGCCGGGGGGGCCCCCGCGCTGGGGAAAGGGGGGTAAAATGGGTCCCCCCCCTTAAAAGGGGGGGGGGATTTTTTTAAGGGGGGGCCATTCGGTTCGGGGGAAAAGCCACTTCATTTTTGGGGGTTGGAAGGGGGGTTTTTGTTCGGAAAACCGTTTTTTTGGGGGGGGGGTTTTTTTTCGAAGGGGGGGGGGGGAAATTTTCCCGGTTTTTTCCCCCCCGGCCCCCCCTTAAATTAAAATTTGGTTTCCCGGGGCCCGAATTTTTTTTTAAGGAAAAAAGCTCCCCCCCCCCCCCCCCCCCGCGCGCCAAGTATCGATTGGCCATCGGTGATCCGTTGTGTGGGAACAACGCTCCGTCCTCTCGACTGACGCGTGGTCTACGGTCAAAGACATGCCAAAACGTGAGCACGCCCCCCTCCCGCCGCCGCCCTGGTCAAAACGCTCGCAGAAACCGCGAGCTGCCCGGAGGGAGCGAGTCGGACAAGTTCCAGGCCGACCCGCTGGCGTTCCTGCAGTCCACGTACGGCCTCCTCGTGTCCGGGGAGGAACAAGATGATGATGATGATCATGAGGTAACCAATGCCGTCGTTTCACCCCCCGACCTCGCGGTCATGTACGACACTCACCTGGCTAGGCCGGGCGTGGCGGAGTACCTGAGCGGTCGCTTGGGGCTGGTGCCGACGGAGGTGTTGTTCCACGCACACGTGAACGGAGACGCTGACAGCGATGATACGCACAGGAACGTTCACGTTCTAGAGCGGGGGGTTCGGCGCCGCTTCGGGGCGGTAGAGGGAACAACGTCGTTTGAAGCCGGCAGGGATGAGATGTAGGCGTGTAGCGTTATGATATGGGATTTTGCAAGGCGAGCATGCTTGGGCGGTTAACAAAAGTATGTGTGTTGTTGGACTTGCACTTGCCATTCAGGTGTCCTGGGTCGGTGGCGTAATAGTGGGATCGATCGCGAGGAGCGTTTGACACCCACCGAAGGCTGGTGTGTCTTGTCAGCCGGCTAGCGGGGTGAACGCTTCGACAAGTGCGCTGTGTGTCGTTTAGAAAACGTTTCGCAAGGAAGGTCTTACGCGTCGCATTTCGGAACAACGAATGAGGGCGCTTGCTTTTCATTCGGCAGGCTTTCATGTTTCTGAGTTCAAGCATTGATCGAAACTGGGCAACCGCGAGTTGACCCATATTTATCTGCAGAGAAACGGCTGTCTGGCCGTTCGTGGTAGAGAATTTCGACGCTGTGTCGCTATCTAGATTATTCCTTTGTCGTTCCCGTATGTACGCGGTGGACGTGCGGCCGGTTCGACAAGAGCCACAAGATGACTGGATGGAAGCCGAGGACAAGCGTAGCGTCGCCGACCTATGAACAGCTAGCGCATGCGCACTGCATTCACGTTGCTATGTATTCTCCGACGGCAGACGACAGCACGACACCGACAAGTCACATTCGACAAAAGGGAAAGACGCTTTTCGCGGCCTTTGTTCGAACTCCCGTTCCAGAAGATACAACATTTCGTATTTCGCGAATTAATTGTGGTATGTACGTGCATGCTACAATATACCCAGTGTCTAAGAAACACACCATCGTGAGAAGAGGGTGGCCGGCCCAGGCCATAACCGATGTGCGTTGTATTCGCTACAGAATCAGGGCTATCATCTCGTTGATCCGCGTCGGAAGAGGGGCACGGCGGGTGCAACGTGCGTCGTCTGGTCAGGCCCCTTCGCGCGGCAAAACATGTTCGAGGAGGAGTAATTTACTCCCTGCTCCCCTTCGATACAGCAGTGACAAGAGTTTTTGTATTCCAGCGTCGCTCCTGTGGTAAAGGTGGTAAAATCGAAACCAAAAATGTAGTATGGTGCTATAGGGTCGGGGGTTAGTTCGATCCACAGCCCGTTCCAAACAGCGCCTGTGGGCTGGACCTCTCGCGTGAAAAATGTGTTGAAAGCAGTAGCTAGCACACCGCCGAGAATTTCTTCCGCGACCCAGTTTGATGAGGACCGGAGCTCTTCAGGTAGAGAACATGCAATGACGTGTATACAGGGTGCTTAGATATGGAGCGACAGAAGAAACGGTAGGGATGAGGAACGGAACAAGAAACACGGGGGCGCTTGAGATCTTGCGATGGGGGAGGGGACGGGAAAGGGATGTGCCGGTTCAAATGTAACTGCCGAAATCTTCCCGCGATGGCGGGGAAATTGAAATTTGCATTCTCTGCATGCGGTGTGTGTCTTTTTGGTGTTCATCGACCGCGTGACCGGCTGAACAATGTTACAACACTAGAGCGAGCTGCGTATGCGTGTTCGTTGTAGGTGGACCCTCCGCGCAAGCTGCCATCACCAGTGGTGTGCGGAGAAGTGTTGTTCGGTGACGAAAAAAAAAAAAAACGCGTCATCCGGATGCGCGTAAATTCAAACAGCAGTGTTGATTACCGCTGTACTGCTGCAGTCGACGCACCCGCTGGGTGAAGTGCTATGGTTATGGAAGAGAAAATACCTATGGAGGAGGACCGAGTCGAGACAGGGGCACAGGTACGTATAGTACTTCCACGAAGTAAAGTTGGATGTCTCGTGTCGTGCACGCCGTCAAAGCCCGCGTGCGACGTCGATCTAGTATTCTCCGAGCCTCCTGTGATGCAGCTGCAGCAGTATTCTTCTTCAACTTGCACTGGCTGTAGTCTACCTCCGTAGGGCTGCTATATTGTAGATGCTGTTGTTTCTACTGCCGACAGCGCTACCGATACCACATATCATTTCTGCAGGTGTTACTTACAGTATTTCCTTCTCGGGTTGCACGCCAAAGCTACGAGAATGCCACGTACGTACAGTAGTGGCTGCTTCATGCAGAAAATGTAGTCAGCGCCCGAACTTGAAAACGTCTACAGTAGTTTAGGGCGAGGCTGGGGTTGTTAGTGCCTAGGGTCATGCTACAAATGGCCGCTATATAGGTTTTAGTGTAGGCGTTCTTATCCGAGGTCTCAAGTGTGGTGCTCAAGTTCATGGATACTCAGTTTTTCGAGGCCAAACTTTTCTTGACTGCTACAAAAAGTTCAACCTTTGGTATGCGCGGGTGCTAAATTATTAGGTGCTTGACTACGGCGCAGTCAGCATATTGCATGGGGTCCTGGACCACGTGTGTGAAGATTAAACCGAGCTCATCAAGTGCCAAAAAAAAAGTGTACTATATGTAGCGCTATTACAAGACAACCTCTCTTTTACATCGCGTCGAAACGGAAGGTCGTTCGGTCGGAGGGTGCCGCTTCCACCGCTCCTGCTCTCGAGCGCTCAGACTCGGCGACCATAGCCGAAGAAGCTGTCGACAACCTCGTCCGCCGGCTGGAGGCCAGCGATGACGAAGGCGATAGCGACGAGGAGGGATGCGACACCCATGGTGGCGCGTGGAGGTCGCTCCAGTACGCCAGCTACATGGCAGGCATGCATCACTTCGTCAAGGAGAAACATCGAGCTCAGGGCTACCTTGCCGCTGAGCTGGCCAAAGCCGACCACGAGATGGGCGAAGGACAGCAGGACCCCACGAAGAGGCCCACCCTGGAGGTTCGAATTGCGACGAGCGTTCAATAGTAGAGCAACCAGAGCAGTCCGCCATTGTGCGTGGTCCTTCGAAGCAGCCCATATTGTACATGTTATAAGGGGTCGTCGTAAGGTGCTCTCATCTTCCCTTTCTGGTCGTGGAATTCTAAACTTGTGGTGAGATGATGAGCTCGGATGTGCAAGAACCCCGACACCGTACGAACTGCGAGTGACGGATCTATCCGAACTGATCATAAGCAGGACCTTGCAACACTTCTGATCGATCTCCCTGGGGATTCAAAATCTTTGCCCCTCTCCGTACAATGAAGGCTGTTGGGGAGAAAAGCGGCCGGACGGTCTTGCGTAGCTTTCCCCCTACCCGGAAGAATCCAAGGACAAACATCTGTAGAAAGCAAACTCTAGACTTCGGTGCAAAGTTCAGCACTCGACGAAGGCGGGGATTCTACCACACATTGCACCTTCCACCCTCACAAACCGCCGCATCACACACCACAAACATCGAATTTACAGGGCGATATCGAGCACTATTCGGTCCAAAAGCAGATCACTCGGCGCCTCAACAAGAAGAGCCCCGGCTTCCTCTCCGCCGTCGGCATGATCTGGAACGCCACGCGAGCGGAGATGGCCAGCAGAATGGGTGAGCCAGCGGTTGCCGCTGCGCCCGCATCGAGCCCTTCTCCTCCTGCCGCTGCTACGCAAGGGGGGGGTGGGGAGGGGGGCGGTGTTGTTGACCAGGATGCTGACGGGATTGACGAGGCTGCGTTCGTGTGCCTGATGGTAAAGGTCCACTACCTCATCATTTGTCCTCCGGTGAGGGTTGGTCTGGATCCATTTAAAGTGCCATTCATGCGACGGCTGTACGTTCTTTTTATCGGTGTGTGTGTGTGCCTGTAGTTGTTTCTCCAACAAATCGCGACGATGTGCTCGCCATCTCTGGACATCTGCGCCTGCGTTCATACAATACTTCAATAGTAACGAAAACATTCTATCTCTAACAACAATCTACGCTATATCACCTGGCGTTACACTCACAGCTACCCGCCTAGGACCTCACTTTAAAGTATTTCCATCGGTGTTTGTGTACCTGTCGGTGTTTCTCCAGTAGTTGTTACGAGTGAAATCTCTTTCTGGTGGATTCGTGGACGCCATACTGACGACCGTATTTAGGGTTGGCACGGTTTGCCGTTGTTGGAGGACGGCTAATATTGCCATGCCAAAGTGCTTCTTGAGGGTACTCGCCATCGCAACTCTCTCTTTGATGATCGATCAGCTGCCCGCAGCGGGCAACAACGCCATCCTGAAAGTCCACGCCACCACATGGTCCTTGCAGTGGAAACGACAACACCAACATAACCCCCAACCTTGCTGCTCTCTATCTGACCGCTGCCGGGCGCCCGCCTCCAGAACTCCTTCGCCCTTTTACCGCCGAGTGAATGCAACTGAATCCAACCACAAACAGATTAACCCCGATGTCGCGCACAAGAACGCCCGCAACGACTGGGCCAAGGACAACGCCAGTGGTAGCCCGACTATGAGCTACGATCTCTTCGTCGCGTCGATCTTCGAGCTGGCGAGTTGAGAGCGAGCGGTACTCAGCTGTGCCGTATGAAGAATAACGACGTTGTTAGGAATCCAAGGGTAGATAGGAAGTTGCCGCTTGGTGTCTCCCCGGACAAGCTCGTTCCTCGGGGGTTTCGAGGCCTGGCTTGCTCTCGGACGGAGCGCGGCTGATTTTTGTTGACAGATAACTTTGTCAAGGACGTGTGTGTGGACTGGATGGCGACCAGATGACCTATCGTAGTCTTTGGAGAGATCGTGCTCGCCAATGTAGATCGATTGCCCCCACACCCAAGGAAGGGGGCGTTGTAATGGCGGAGAAACTCTAGTTTCGGGAGGCATCTTGTTCAGACCTTTCCTTCACCGTATGGATCGCTTTTAGGTTTCCGCAGCCTGCTTTCCGATGGGGCAGCAGTCGAGCTTTGAAATATCCGTCTAAACATAGCGGGCGAGGTCTCTCGGATCCTTACGGAAACACGTGGTGCAATGATGGCGATTTTTGGCCTGTTCCCTGAACTGTGTCCTCGACAGCTGGAGATGCCTACGACTTGCACACGTTGTACTTGAACTACAGGTCGACATCTGGACGGAAACGCTGGAGGCGTCAGAGTACGACGCGCTCGCCATGATGATCGCGAAGGGGGTCACGACGGAAGTGGACGCCCCCACGGAGACGGGGCCCGACGTCGAGGATGGGCGGGGCTCGGTGGCAGGGTCGGTGGCCTCGGTCACGGGCGAGAGGAAGAAAAGTCCAGAGAGGTGAGGCAGTGCCGCAGCCACTTAAGACATTCTTGGATTTCATGGCATTATCAAGAACTTCTGGCACTGTACCAAGGCTCTACCAAGCATCATGGCACTGCTGTACCGAGTAATAAGAACAACCAAGCAGTATAGGCACTACCAAGCAGAATGGCACTACCAAGCACCAACGTCGAGAATGGAAGAGGCCTACTGTAACGACACACGGTGCTCTCGAAACGATCGCGTTTGGGCATCTTCCCCTAATAGTCCTGGTACACATGGCACGCCGGGTGGACGGGAGTGATTACGGTTCTGTGCGCTTGCCAGAACCCTCTTGTGGTACCCCCGCAACGTCTACGGTGTTCGTATCTGCTCGCTTCCATATCCAACACGAGCCGGCCGGCCACAACAACGGTTCCCAAATGAAAACTGCCTTTTGAAGCCATTTGCCAGTTGTTTCGTTGTCTTGTGAACCACTGGGTGTGCGGAATGTCAATTTGGTCTGCATTGAGCCAACGATTTTGCCGGCGCCCGTCTCGACAGGAAACCCCCTCAACCGATGTACGCAACAACAGCCGCAAAAGATGAGATGCGTCACGGCACTTTCGGCGTTTCGAATAGTCGCCAATTTTGACGTTCCTTTCTTCAAGTAGGCCTCCTCGCTTCCTTTGACCCACCCAACTCAACAAGACCAGCAGGGCAGCAGAACCCACAGCACAGAGTAGTGGTGGCGTTCACCGGCCTCCAAGGCAAACGGAGGACCGTCACAGGCTCAGAGAACAGGCAATCACAACAAACCTCACTTATCACCATTCTTGGCTGCTGGGGAAACATTGGTCCAGAGAAGACGGCCACGCCACGCGCCGAAACGTTTTGGGCTCTTCCAAAACCGCCGTTCGTGTGATGATCCTAGCGGCTAGGTTAGCGAGGTGTGTGTAGATCCCCGCACACCAAACCATCTTCCTGCTTCTCTGTGTTGGTCCATCCTCGCTGCCACGAAAACAAACCACACCGCGAAGGCGATACGTGCTCAAGGCCGACGAGGGGATCGTCTACGACCCGAACATCACGAGAGAACCGGTCTACATGGAAGATATCGAGGAACAGGTGCTGCATGTTGCCTTTCATACCGCGTGCGCAAGCGCTACATTGGGCGACAAGGGGTAGCATGAGATTGGTGCACGGAACGTTTGAGGGAAGATGCAGAGAATATGAACCAAATAACAGACAGCATCATTCTCAGGCGAGCTTTCGAGGAGGACAGCACGGCTACGGAGCCTGTTTCACTAAACCATTCTCTCGAGTGGCAGCCCCGACCTCCCCCCCCCCACCCCCCCCC